AAAGCATTTGTCAATCTAAAAAAAAAACAATGGAATAAGGACAAATTCTCTTAAGTCTTTTGTTGGTGTCTCGCTTGACTTTCAGTTTCAGGAGAAAAGTACCCAATTACTTTTAGAAGTCGTCTTAAATGAGAGAGTTCTTTCTTGTTAAACACATAAGGCAATAATGAGAAATGCACTATAGCACAGCTAGAGCAGGAGGGTTTGTGAAATCCTGGGATTAACTAAATTGTCTCTCTAACTGATTTTGTTCCCATTTGAATCTTATCAAAGTTGGTCTCTCAACTTTTAATGAAAATCTGGGATACTGCCAAAATGAGCAGGGCAAAACTAGTACTTCTCCTTCACGATGGTTTGGGCATTTACTTTACCAAGACTGTAGATTCACAATCAAAATATTTTTTATCTCTACTTCAGAAAGCCATTATCCATTCATTTTTTAAAACTGCTTTCACTGCTCAATTCAAAGAACAAAATGTAGCTATCATCCATAGGGAAGCCACATAACGGAGGTTCTGTGGTTCTGCCATCCAGAATGATGTCATCTGGAAGAGGAATCCACTCCATCGGTTCAAATGAGACTGACCAGGAGTTTTACCAGCTCTTGTGGCTGATAAAACATGACCAAGAACATTTTTGTGTAAACATGTTTTAGGCTGATAGCCAAGGTTATGCCATTTGTCTTTATGATGGCTTGAGAGTTTTGGGACATTGAACTATGTCTTATTTCTCTGAAACACTGAGAGAATGGGGGCAGAGACAGAGAGACAGAGTGAGGGACAGAGACAGAATGACAGTGTGTGAGAGGGGTGGGGGACATCCCTGAGCTTATCCTGAGAACACTCTGGATTGTTCCTGGTTTCAATACTCAGTTAGCACATTGTCCAATCCCATGAATTATTGTGTGCATAATAGTTTTAAATGGTTTTAACAGAGACTGTATGGAACACTAGGGTGAGAAAGCAGTTCATGGTCTGGAAATTCTCCTGGGACCCATTATCAGGGTCCTTTTCACACAGCTCTTCCCTCTTGGTCTCTCTCTAAATATCTGCTGGAATCCCAGGCTGTTTCCACTGTTTCCTGGGTCCTGCCCTCTGAAGAATCTCAAATCATTCACAATGTGGCATATTAAATGATATCTTTTGGATCCATTTACTAAATGAAAGTATCTTTAAATTATTAGCTATAGTCTTTCCATATATTTTGACATCATATAGTTAAGTATGATATAGGCATTCATTTTTAAGGAGGTTGTACTTTTAGCTGTTATTAGGAACTTGACCCTATATAATAACATGACTCCTAAGGAGTAAATTCAAAGTTATGTGCAACATTAAGGAGTGCAGAAATTGTAATAGGCTAAATAAAGATCCCTCAAAGATGCTCATGTCCTAATTCTTGGAACCTGTAATTATGTGACTTTATATGAAAAAAAAAGGAATTTTGTAGATTTGGTAAGTTGAGCATCTCAAGTTTTGAATTACCTGAGTGGACTTAATGAAATAAAAAATTATTATAAGATCAGAGACTCAAGAAGCTAAGCTGTTTGTTGAGGACATGAACCACAAGCCAAGAATTATGAGTAGCTTCTAGAAACTATGAGGCAATTAAACCCATCTCTCTTCTAGCTTCAAGAGAGGACATTTTGACTTTTGCCTTCTGGCTGCTATAATGATATGATAATAAATCTGTGTCCACTTGATGCAGTAATTCATAAATGCAACTTTGTTATAATAGCCATGGGTCATACTCTTTAAGAATTCTCTCAGCCACTCATGTCCCTCCAGGTCCCCTAAGGAAAACTATTCTCCGTAATTTTCTCTGTCCTCCTTCCCTTGATCTACATACACTGTTTCTGATATTTTAACAGCTCAGTTGCACAGTGCCCTCTTCACAAAGAACATCTGGAGCTATGCACTCCCATCCCACACCTGCCAGTTCTAATAGGGTCCTAATGCTACTCCGCTTATCACACCTGCACCTTCACAACAGCTGACATTTGGTATTTGAATGGTTATGTGATCATGTTTATCATATCACTACTGTTAGCTTGATGAGTACACAAATATAATTTTGCACACTCTTGCGAACCTGGTGCCTAGTGGTATTCACAAGTAGCTTCTTGGTGGGTTAAGAATCCTCAGAGTTATGTGTGTCTCCCATGGTGGCCTGATACTGAGACCTGGTGCAGTTCATTTAGAAGCAGGAGAAAGGCAACAGGTGTGCTTGCCTCTGTGTTTTCCACCTTTGCTTGCAGATAAAGTGAGCCTGCCAGGCTTTGCATTAACTCACATGCTTCTGAGGTCTTGGGCATAGTCACCATTTCTCTTTCTGAGTGATAACTGATAAAAGATGTAGTGTGGTGAATAGGTAATAGAAAAAGTGTTGTGCGGTTTCTAAAACACTTTTTGTGTAGGATTTAGGACTCTTTATTTTTGCCTTATTTCTATTTACTTAATTTTATTACTTGAGAACTGATCATAAGACCACTAAGAAGTTAAGTTTTTCTTTAGCAAGGCATTTATAACTTTTATTATTTTGATTTCTCTGGTTTTCCCCCTTTTTGAGCTGAGGACCGAACCCCAGGGCCTTGCACTTGTTAGGCAAGCACTCTACCACTGAGCTAAATCCCCAACCCAGATTTCTCTGGCTTCCATAGTCAAAACTAATGCTATCTTAGGCTTCCCCTAGGATGTAGAAGGAATAGCACTTTTGCATAGTTTTCTTAAGCCTCCAAAGAAGAAAATGCATGAGATATGGTTAATCTCCATTTATGTGTTTAAGTTCATTTCAATGTTTTGTGTGTACGTGTGCATGTGGATGAACATGTGTGTGGGTGCATGCACATATATGTGTACATGTGTGAAGAGATCAGAGGTGACCTTGGGTGTCATTTCTTAAGCACAGTCCACTTTGTCTCATTAAAACAGGGGCCCTCACTGGCCTGATACTCACCAAGGAGACTATGTGGGCTGGTTATAACCCTCAGGATCAAGTTGTATCTTCTTTCCCAGCACTGGGATTATAGCTGTGCATTTAACTTTCCTGGAAGTGTTTATATGTGGGTCCTGGGAGTCAAGTGCCCATGATTTCACAGAGAGCATCTTTACCTACTGAGCTATCTCTCAATCCCTCAATACTTGTTTTTAAAAACTAATTTCCATGATTAGTAGAAATATGTATAAAGGGTCTTTAAATAGTAGATAATTTCCCGTAGTAGTTATGCTATATTGTTCTACATAGTTTGCACATACATATTACTTTTATTTAAATTGGTTTAAACTCAAATATTTTACAAATATTTTTATTGTTGAGAATTTCATTTGAATATATCCACCCCCCCATTTACTCCATTCATTTATCCCCATATCTCCCCAATAAGTCCCTCTCCCAAGTTCATTATTCCTTATCATCCTTTTCCTGTCCTCCCTCTTCCCTCTCAGACTCCACCTCTTTCTTGATAGACCACTAATTCAGTTAGTGCTCCCTGTGCATACATTCCTCCTCATGACAATCTATAGATGCTACTCCTCTTTCCGTAAGAAGGAAATTCGGTTTTAGACCTTTCTGTACAGTAAGTTCTTAGGTTCTCAGGTAGTATAGTGACAGTGGTCTGCTCCCTTGGTCCAGATGCTCACAGTCTCCCTAGACTGCACATTTTACCAGGCACTTTCACACAGCATAATTTTTGATGGCTTATTCAAATCACACCAGCTCAGATTTCTCTGTGCCATTAGGTTCCATGCTTCAAGATGGAAAATAGGCAAATAAGTTGAGTTGCTGTAATTTATTACCCAGATCCTATTATGTTCAGAATCACCCTTTGCACCTCTCATTGTGGTTAATCGCAGTGTGCTATGGGCATGTTTTCTATGTGAAGACCAAACTTTATCACCATGTAACTGTCACAACAAGTACCGATTACAAAAGCTAGGAAGAATGTGTAATCAATTCAACTTTGACTTTATAAAACTTTTGTAAGACTCTAATGAAGACAAATTATTTTGTTAGTTGATTGTCAGCCTTCTGTGTAGATTCCTTCCCTTAAGGAGTTCATATCATGTCACAGTGGGGTAGAAAGAATGTTCCCAGTTTACTGACAATGAGGTGGAAAAAGCAAGAAGGTCGCCTACATTCACCCCCAGCTGTGGTTGGCTCTTCTCCCTTAGACATTAATCAACCAAGTCAATAAGCTTTGCTGACAGTCGAGCCAAATGTGTCTTTTTGAGTACCTGACAGACTCAGGATGAATGCTCCATGAACAGATACTTGAGCAATTGGTATTTCTAAATCAAAGAGTGTCTATACCCACAGCACAGTCTGTTAAATGTTGGTGGAGACATTGCTGGTCTGTCTTAGGTCTAAAGGACCTAATGACCAACTGGCCTGCTTTTTTTCCCCACTGAATTTGTTTGAATTGCCATGTGTCCATAACCATGAAACCCAAACTGTCTACTTGATTCCATGTTCTGTGCTGAAAATACCCATATCCCTTTTTCCTTTTTACAAAAAAAAAAGTCTTGATGTGATTGAAATGTTGGATGGAGGGATTTCACTGTTGAGACTACATACAGAAACAGCAGAACACGGCTGAGGGGCTGACCGACGACACAAACACAGCACCTGCTAATGTGCAGGGAGAAACCACCTGGAGACTTTAGAAAAGCTACCCCAGAAATAATATCTTTATCCAGATACAAGGTCCCATATGAATTATACTATTATTTTAGCTGATTTTCCCTGACATCACACTATGATTTTTTTCCATGACAAGAAAATTGCAGCCAACCCTTGACAGTCAATCACAAATTGACTGAACAAAACAAAATCAAACAGTGAAGTAATCCCCAAGCAAATTTAATGAAACCTAAATCCCGAAGGGCTGTGCACTTCTGTAGGCAATGGTCTTATTTAATAAGCTGGCCCTGCTTTCACTTTTAGGACCATATTTACACAGACAAATTCAATTCATTTGGGTTGACTTTTCCTCTTCCTCCCAGTCTGCCCACCAGGCACGTATGGGAAAGACTGTAACCAGAGATGTCAGTGTTCAGCAACTGAGGACTGTCATCCAGTCACCGGAAGATGTTCCTGTCTGCCTGGCTACCATGGAAACCACTGTCAGCTCCGTAAGTGTGGTCGTCTGTACAGAAGTGTGACTTACTGAGGAGATACTGACAGGCCAGACTTGCTCAGAGCAAAGAGCAGAAGTGAATGGAGGCTTCAACTCCATCACCAATTCTGTGGGATGTTTGACTTGAATACTGGAAAGCATTATCTTCTCATCTCTCTCTGCACCCCCTTTCTCTATCTTCTTTTGGTCTTTTCTGTTCAAAAAATTCCCCAAACCCTTAACAAGTATATATGAAACAAGATAGATGAAAAATGTAGGAAATTATGTGCTTATCACTATAAATCAGCAGAGAACAAGAGACAACATATTTTAAATGACTCAAATGTAAGCTGATCCCATGCCTGCTCTGAAACAAAAATGAAATGAATTGTTATTCTGTGATGAAAGCAAAGGCTTGCTTAAGTGACAAAATGCCAGCAGCTCCTGGCCCTGTAATGAGACAGCTCCATCCCTAGACTCAGAACCTTACATTGATTTGCTGGAACAATTTAATGTCAAAAATGCTTATTGAAGAAAGAATACACTAAAAAAGTCTCAAGGAGCACGTGAAAATGTTCAATCAACTATTTAATTTTTAAGCCTGTAATTATTTATAATGCACATTTTATAGGTATAAAAATTAAATGATTTGGCCTTAGCTTCCTTTGTTTCCCCAAACTGACCACGGCTACTCTTTCCTCCAGTCTTTCCAGTTATTTGTCCTAAATACATGGACTCCTGATCACATAATCTCCTAAAAGCCATAGACAATATATTCCAAATATCATTAATACATCTTAAACATTGGTAACTAAAGCCACAATTAAACATATATGAAAATTGTTTCAATTAACACTTTTAAGATTCATAAATAGTATAGTCATTCCAGTTGAAAATGAATGACTAAAATATAAAATTTCTCTTAGTTTGTGACTATGGTCGATTCCAGGCATCTTGTCCTAAAAAGGTATTGTCATATATCTCAGAAGAACTTCCTTCCTGGTCTCGAAGATATTTTATATTAAGAAATAATATCAGGTTACATACAACTTGGTTATATTTTCATTTCCAAAAGTGAGCTACCTTGGGTTAAGGGAAGTAGCCTCACCTTGTTAAAGTCAAGCTGGCTGAGCCAGGAGCAGCTCCCTGACTGTCGAGTGGGCTTAGCTCCAAGCAACACGTGGTTGGATACGGTTCCTTGGCAGCATCCACTGTAATTACAAGACTATGAAGAAGGATTCAAGAAAATAACCATAAAAGGTGTAGCTGGCTCTAAAGGAAAGCTTCCACAGCCAAGAACAACTGGGCTTTCATGCTCTCAAGTTCAGAGGAGAGAATTAAACTTTTCTTTCAGCAGAGGTCAGAGGAAGCAGACAAACTCACACTGAACATCTCACAGCTTTTTCCTAACTTGAGAGATGGGGACGCTCAGCCTGAGTGTGTGGCTCTCACATAGGAAAAGAGCAGTGAGTGCCAGAGGATGTGGACTCACGATCCTATGGGTTTCATGACCAATGAGAGGTCTTACACTGTTGTAGACCTTGGAAGCCTTACACTCCTTTGCCTACATTTAGAATCACCCTCTTCTGAGTTCTCAGTAACTAGTCTTGTGAAAGGTCCTCCATGCTCCAAATAGATGCTTTGGGAAATGTAGTAAGAATAGCTTTCCCAGATCAGGAGGATATGAAGGTATTCATAGAAGCTTGTCATTGATGACATTGCCTGTGGCCATAAACATTCATGGTGAGATTTTACTTCCTCCTTTTTCAGAATAAAGCCAAATTGTGTCACAATGTCTTGCCCATATATGTATAACCTTTTCAAATACTAGGCAAACGGACTGGGGAAAACAGATTAATGCTATTCATTTGCTTGGGAACTATGTGCCTCGAGATACAGTAGCAGCCTTGTTTGTCTAAGTGAAATGCCATTCACATGATCACAGTGTGCAGTAGCAGAGGGGCCTGCCATCAAGCCTTCAATATTTAAACAAATCAGAACAGTAAATTCCAAATTGAGTTTTTTTTTTTATTAGCATCAAAGAGGGGAAGATCATTTGTGGATAGAGGGAAATGGTCATTTTATAATGGAAAATAACCCAACACCCCTTGCTTGGGAGACATTTCCAGAAAGAATAACTGTAAGAGATGTAGCGAAGGTGACGCCATGATAAAAACAGAACATTAGGAAATGGGGGGGGGGAGACTTGACTTTATTATGACAAACTTAGTAAAATCATTATATCCAGAGTGTGTCTTGTTAAGTTTAGTGAACCTCTGAGATGTGATCATGAATCAAGAAGTCTAACTTGCATGTGCCACAGAAGTTAATGAGAAAGTGTAATTGTCCCCAAAATAATAAATTCTTGGAAAAAAAGATGACCACAACCTCTATAAACCATACAGCATACTTGGGTTATAAATTTAATGAGTCTGTAACCCACAGATTTGTGCATATATTCTTTTTATAGATGACATATTCTTTAGCAGGTCAGCCTCATCAGATATAGTGGACTGATTTAAGAAGGATAATTACGCTGAAGGATAAAATAATGTTTTTTCTATTTATGACAAAGAAAGAAGCAATAGTGATTTTAGTAAGTACAAGCCAATGATAAGACAGCTGCATTGACGACTGTCCCTGGTGGAAATGGCTGTCCTATGCTAAACTCACAGGAAAAGTATCTTCAAATCTGTACTTTGCATCTCTTAGTTACTTAAATTTGTTAGATACTCACGCTAGGCCGTTCTTCCAGTTCAGCGGGTGTGGTCTTTCTTTATACTCAGAATTATAGCCACAGCTTTACATACATTTTTGTTTTGAAAAAGTCTCTTTTTATAAAGTGACGCTCTTTTCCTTGCTTGCACAGATACCCACACCATGGTCCACTCCCCAGTTAGGACTTCTAGAACACCTGCTACCACTTTAATCTCCTCTTAGGAAGCAGCACGCCTGAGGGGCTCGCCTGACCACACTGATTCTCTCTGTATATCCTCAGTTTCCGTCTTTGTTTGCCTCCAGTCGAGTCACCAAACATTTTTCAGCATCATACACTTTTGTAAATCATTAATTTTATAAAACTATGACAGTTACGTTCTATGAGACACAACCAGTTAGACACGCAGGAAATGGAAGAAGGGTGAAGGCATGCATCTTACTGCAGCGCTAACTGCGGGTTTACCATTCTCTAACACATTTTAGAAGAGGAAAGAGCTCACGAGCATGGGCACTGCTAAAAATGCTGGCAATGCTGTTCCGGAAGGAGCGGGGAGGAGCTAGCGCGGGGCGGGGCTAGCGCGGGGCGGGGCTAGCGCGGAGAAGAGTGGAGGAAGAGCAGCCCTTACAGAACAGCAGCCTTCGTGTGAACAGTGCTTCAGTGTTCACTTTGGTTTTCACCATATGCCGTTTTATTTCTTAAGCTGGAAGGCAATCTGAGGCTCCAAGGAACAACTGTGGGTTTGGAGACAGGATTCAAGCAAAGGTTGTAAAATGCGTCTTAAATAAGGGGCCCTCTCTGACCAGTGTCTTCCATGGTGTCATCATGGGAGACCTACATTAATTCTTTTTCTCTTATTGGGATAGAACATCCTGACAAAAAGAAACTAGGTCAGGAAAGGATTTATTTTAACTTACACTTCCAGAAGGGCAGTCCATCATGGCTCTGAAGGTCTTCAACGAGACCATGAGACCAGCCTGTCAGTAAGCAGAGAGAGAGAGAGAGAGAGAGAGACAGAGAGACAGAGACAGAGACAGAGACAGAGAGAAAGACAGAAAGAGAGAAACAGAGAGAGAGACACAGAGAGAGAATAGGAATCTCTGTGTCTTCCTATGTATCCACCTATCTATCACCATGTTATCATATGTTTGATTCAGTAGCTTGAAGGCAACTAAAATCACCAAAGATGAATAATTGAAATATTGAGTTAAGAAAGATGTGGGCATGAGTTTGAACACCTGAGTGTTTCAAGTTACAACAACACATGAAATTTTGCTCTTCTGTAACAGGGTGCCCAAAAGACACTTATGGTCCAAATTGCCAAGAAACATGTAAGTGCCTGAACGGAGGTCAGTGTGAGAGCGTGCATGGCACCTGTACCTGTCCTCCTGGCTTCGTCGGGGCGGACTGCAGTCAAAGTAAGTTAGTCTTGCCTGGTTTTTCAGTCAGAGTCCTTGTGTGGTTTACGGATGTGTAGCAATCCTACAACCTCACCCTGTGCTTATGGGGAAGACAAGACAACTATTCCAGTGTCCAAAGTGTGTAGCACAGTACCAAAGCACAGTTCCAAAGGACTGCAGCTGTAACAGTGAACGGTGGTGTAACGTTTTACTTGGGGATTTATTATAATGACAGTAAATACAAGCTGATCTAAATGCTAGGTTGACAACTATTAACATCAGATTTGAATTGAGAGTTGAAGTCATCAAAATTAGCAAAAGAAATCTTTCTGCCATAAACCCTTCTACCTGGAAATACTGGACTCAAATCAGGACTGGAAAAAAATGTGTTCAGCATGCTGATTTCTGTGTTCATAATGTCAACCTTGCCCAAAGGTCCAGAATTTTATCTATACTCAGCAATTTTATGTCTCAACAATAAGTAATTTCTCTACTTATCAAAAGGGAAATAGTACCATAAGCCCAAATACCTTTACTGTATGTTGTAAAACTTATTAACATCAAGTTTAAGGGTCAGAAAGTTGAAGATCCCTTTAAAATACAAATGCTTGGATACTGTGAGTTTGTGCCTAAGACATGCATCTCATACATTGTCAAACCTGCCATTTCTAAATAACTTGGTCGTTTCTACTTTCACCAAATAACTAGGTGAATGCATGCCCTCTGGTGCCTCTGGCCCAGGTGGTGATGATTATGTAGTCACATCAAACCCTAGTGTCTGAATGCAGGGCCACGGATGATCTCTTCAGAAGACAGAGCAGGCAGGACAGAGAACAGACTGAGAGAAGGAGGTTGGAAGCTGGGCTAACAATATCTGTTTTTTAAGGCAAGAGACATGAGATTTGGTTATTCACATTTGAGTCATTCATTAAGATCATACTATCTCCATTGATCATTAACTTCACAACCAGAAGAGAGAAGCACCATTAATATGGTTTTAAGTTAAAAGTAGATGAACTACAATAACCCTCTCATTCATGTGTGTGCATGCATGTGCACTTGCACACATACATACATATACAAATACACATATATACCCTCACACACATGAACATACACATATAGATACATAAATATACACATACTATACACATGCACACAAAAATACACACACAAAAGCATAAACATATACACAAATATGTATGCTTACATACAGCTACACATATGCATAGAAACACATTCACATGCATGCACACGTGTGTGCGTGCACACACACAACTTTCATTTAAGGTCTTACTGGAAGAGGATCAAAGTTTGTGCTTATTCAGGTCATTAAGCTGGTGTATGCTGCCTCTGACTTACATAAGGACATGTTCTCTGTTAATTGTCCCATCACAGCACCCCACCGTACTGAGCATAAAAATTTAACAGGACAAAGTCTCAAATCCAAAAAGCTGGTGACAGACACCTACTGGATAGTGCCTCTGTGTCCTCGACTGTCAAGTGATCTTTGCATGAAAGCCATCCCATAAAAACTTCCTGAGGAAGGTTCCAGCTGGCTCCTTTATGTGTGTTCTTCAAAGAGACATCCCATGCAAGAGCACGTTCAAAGGCTGTGGCTCCTGAACACTGGGAACACGTTGTCTTGAGAAAGCTGTGATCTTGTAGGGGCAACTTTCCTTGCTCTGACAGATTGGTTGGTTAGAGCCAAGTGTGCAGCCTGCCTCTGCCAAGGCCAAGGTTATCTTCATGTTGTTACCACATAGCCACCTCAGTTGGTTCTTACAGATGTTTCTATTATTTTGTGTGTTATCTGTTATCAGTACTCATCTCAATTCATTTTTGTAACAATGCAAAATAGACGAGTAAATTCAAAGACACAAATAAATATTTGAAAATGTGAGTATTATGGATTTTATGTTAAGGTTAGGAGTATAAAATAAGATTTTAGAAAGGACTTTAAGAGACAAAATATTAAATATGTTTGCAAAGATATTATATATGTCCTGAAAGTACAACTACACCCCCCCACATGCAACACACAACAATATACATACATAAGCATATATATGCACACATACTCATACACACAGGCAAAAAATACACACACATACATACATATACATAGTCTCTTTCTCTTATACAAATATACTCAGAGCTTGTGTATGTATGTGTTTGTGTTGTGTGTATATGTAAAGTAAGACTGGAAGCTGTTGGGATTTTGTTTTGTTTTGTTTAATAATTTATTTTTATTTTATGTGCATTGGTATTTTGCCTGAATCTCTGTATGAGGGAGGGTGTCAGATCCCCTGGAACTGGAGTTGTAGACAGTTGTAAGCTGCTGTGTGGATTCTGGGAATTGAACCTGGGTCCTCTGTAGGAGCAGACAATGCTTTTAACCACTGAGCCATCTCTCCATCCTGATAACCATTGTTTTTAATTTGTAAGTGAAACCTACCAGACATGTCTTTTGAAACTAGATACAGGCTTATATAGTCCACATTCCAGCTGAAACTGCTCTGAGAGAGCAACACCTTGGGACTTCCTACTTGGTTACTTATTTTGAAGTAACCTTTAAGGTTGAAAATCAAACTGTAGGAAAGTCAGCAAAATACGGGATTAGGAGAAAAGGCCATTTATTGACAAGTGTCTAGAAGTCTTGAGTGACTGATGTTCTGTAAACAAACTAAGCTTCGTCTGCCTTTATTTTGCTCTCTGATCTAGCTTGTCCTGGAGGTAATTATGGCCAGGATTGTGCCCAACGTTGTTCCTGCGGCTCAGGAAAGTGTGACCCAGTGACAGGAAGATGTCATTGTCCACCCGGCCTGATGGGATCAAGGTGTCAGCAAGGTAACAAAGGCTGCTAAAGATTCACTTTAACTATTTAAGTAATAAACACGCTGGACTCAGACCACAACTTGGTGCTGGGACTGTGGTATGATTTACCATGCTTCTTTCCATCCCATGGGAGCATGTTTGCCTGTTGCACTGTTGGGGCAATGGCCTCTTGGAAGGCCACAGAAACTGGTATAAAAATGAAAATTATTTATGCATACTCTTGGCTAGGAGGAGCAATTTAGGCAACAGTGGCCACTCTTGGAAAACTTCGAAAATGTTAGAGAAGTTAAATTACAAGATGAACGACTCCGATATACTCTTCAACCTGCAGAGGCCCCTGTGAGAAGAACAGGAGATAAACATGCAAATACAGTCTGTGTTGGAAACTGAAGACTTGCTTCTCTGAAGTCTTAATATTGATTACTATCATAATTAAAATTATAAGCACAGAAGAACCATCGAATTATCAAGGCGAGGAAGTGCAGTGAGAGTGCCGGCCATGGCTCTTAGCTGTGGCATCTTTGCTGGCATACAGCTGTGGCATCTTTGCTGGCATACAGCTGTGGTATCTGAGCTGGCATACAGCTGTGGCATCTAAGCTGGCATGCCCCCTTGTTGTATAAAGAGGGAGAAGACGACTAGGGCAGGTTTCAATCACATACTTCCGATATTGTGGTTTACAAAGTGTGTGATGGTTTAAATGAGAATTGTCTCCCATAGGCTCCAGTATGTAGACACTTGGCCCTCAGGTGGTGGCATTGTTAGGGGATGGTTTAGAAAGACTGGCCTTGTTGAAGAACGGATGTCACTGGAGGGCAGGTTTGGGGAATTTAAAGTCTTGCCCTACTTCCAGTTTTCTCTCAGTTTCTTGCTCCTGCCACAATGCACAAGGCTGGCTGACATGCCTCTGTTCCGTTCAACTGGACTCATCCCTCTGGAACTGTAAGCCAAAATAAACCCTTTTTATACAGGCTGCTTTAAGTCATGGTGTTTTTTCACAGCAACAGAAAACTACACAATAAAAACATGCAATTGTAAATTGTACTTTGGTTGACATCAGTCCCAACTGCCTGCTTTCAAATAACCAGCAGACTCTTCCCAAATAACTGACTCGGAGACTTAATATAAATTATAAATGCTCAGCCAATAGCTCAGACTTGTTACTACCTAACTCTTACATTTAAATTAATCCATATTTCTTATCTATGCTTTGTCCTGTGTCGCATGACTTGTTAACTAATTTTTTTTCTACATGTCCTGCTTCCTCGGGGGGGCTGGCTGGCGTCACTCTGACTCTGCCCCTCTCCCTTCCCTCTTTCTCTGTTTGTCTGTCTCACTTATACTTTTTAGTTGGCTACTGGCCAATCAACCTTTCATTAAACCAACTTGAGTGACAAATCTTTACAGTGTACAAAGGGAATATTATACAGCATTTCCCCCTTTTGTCTAACTAAAAAGAAAGGTTTTAACTTTAACAGAGTAAAATTATATACAACAAATACAGTTATTAAGTAAGAATTACAGTTACAATATCCAGTCTATTTATATTTGGCAAAATTAGAGAAAATATTATCTATCTTAGTGAGTCTAATGTTTTGTACCTAAATTACCATTTATCATAACTATAAGGAAAATTATATTTGTAATTATCTAGTCTTCAACTCCATCAAAGATCCCAGAAGAGTGAAAAGTTACCTAATGACAGGGATATTAGGCTGCCTGGACAGTTACCCAGTCACCGAAAGTTTCTCTGTAATGTTGGGCCTTCCAACCCTGGCCTACAGGCCCAGCATTTCTGACAGACTTTCCTGTGAAGCAGAGAATTTTGAAGAACTGTCCCACCTTCTCTTGGCAAAGTTTAGCAGTTGCATTTCTTGCATCCTGCTGGTCCAGTGTGGACAGTAACTGTCAGCAATTGAGGCAATGGCAGTTTCTTAAAGAAAACAAACTCCACATGGAGTTTCTTTGATGCCTATCATCCTCTTTGAAGTAATTGGTGCTGCCAGGAACAGACATGTCTCACTGTTGAGAAAAGTCTAAGTTCTTAAAACATTTTAAATGCCATATTCTGTAGGTCTTTAAAGTGTTTGAAGATTGCCTATCTGAAATATATCTCTGTATGACCTTGAAAAACTAACATGACTATAAGTTTGCTATTATAGATGATTATTAATCTGTATTTCTTAATTATATATTACAATTTTAAATGAGCTGCATAAACATAATATCCTAAATGAGAGTAGAAATATACATATAGTATAACAAAATTAACTTTAAATCTGTATCAATATATGAAAATCCATACCAAAGTAACATATTTAAGATTAATAGTTGTTTTGGGCTTAAAGTAGATTCAATAGTTTATCCTTTTATCCTATCATTTTATATCATATCCCTTTTTTTCTTTAGAATGGAATCCCTGAATCTAATCTCCTTTATTCAGCTTTCTTTCCTGACCATTACCAATAACCAACCCCCCTTAAAATAAATATTTATAACTTATTTTTTGGGAATGTGGGTATAGTTCTCTAGACTACTTCCTGTTGACTAAGGGCACTGGTAATCTTTAGGAAACTCTGAGAAAATTTAGGATTATGGTCAAACCTAACTGGAATATTCTGTGAGGCTGGATCATCTCAGCCAGGAGCCTTGAAGCTGTTCTGGATGCAGAATTCTGAGGAGACTGTAACAGAGGCATTTGGAAATGTTGGATCACTTGGGCCATTCATTTTCATTAGTGTTTGGTCCTCTTGCTCCAAAAATACATAAACTTTTAAAGGTAACATACATGTCTGCATTAATACAAGTATAGACTGAGTCAGCTAGAGATGATTTTTTTGTTATGTGTTTGAGCAGGTAAAATATACATCACATATCTATAGTTATTTTAGGTTTGTTTCTTTATGTTTGAAGCCAGGACTTTCAGGGGATCTTTCTTGTTCAAACCTTATTTTCTTTAATCTGGAATGAATTCACAGCTTCTCATTTTCTGTGGAAATAAAAGCATAACCTCTTCCGAAAAACAACATATCTTTTGACTTAAATTTTGAAGTCAAGATATTTTAAAATACATAGGTTGGTTTAATCTAGCACTTTTCATAATCCAGTGTCTTTTAATTACCAAAAATTTCAAAGACAACATAATAACATATAGGACTCAGACTATCTGTATATCCCTCATCTTTATATGGCTTTTTTTTTCATTTATATTACCTTACTCCCTTTTTAAGAACTTTATTATTTTAAAACTTTATTTTTCTTTTTTATGACTGTCTATTCCCTTTCTCTTTTCTCTCCCAAGCCTATGTATATTTTTAAACACACTGTTCAGAGGTTTTTTTTTCTTTTTGTCTGAATCTGCCTTTACTGTGTATCTGTAATCCTTTCCTGTCTATATGAGCAAAAATACTGCTGTGTAACTTAGATCATAGCATGCTGGTGCTGGCTCTTCCCCCTTGGTTCCCTGAGAGTCTAGTCTCATGGCAGAGGTATGTTTACCACCAGCTCTGGGAGCCATGTTTACCTGCCCTAACTCTGGAAGTTTACAGGTCCATACCACCACCTAGTAGCATACTGACTGCTGCTCATAAATGTCATATAAGTGTTTGGTAGCAGGGACTCTTAAAAGAGTTGCTCATTTTTGCTGCTAACACCAAGTTAGGAAGCCACCTCTTAAAGGAGCCACACCTCTGCTCTCTGCCAGCAAACAGAGCCCACCTGAGAAAATTCAGCTACCAAAAAACCATGCTTGACTCCACTTTTGTGTGTCTAGAATCCTTTTTTAAAGCTTTGTCGGGTTTTATGTGGAAATTCCAAACATTTGGACACTGTATGTTGGTTTGTAGGCAGATGTTTCTGTCCCACCAGCAACTCCCAAATAAACACACTGAGGCTTGTAAATAAAATGATAAATTATCAGCCTATAGCTCAGGCTTATTACTATCTAACTCTTACTTTTAAATTAACCCATGTTTCTTATCTATGCTTTGCCACATGGCTCATGGCTTGTTTCCTCATTTTCTACATGTCCTCCTTCCTGGGTGGCTGGCTGGTGTCTCTCTGACTTCATGCTTCTTCTTCCCTGCATTCTCTGTTTGGCTGTCCCACGTATACTTTTTTGCTAATCAGCATTTTATTAAGCCAATTTGAGTGACAAATCATTACAGAGTACAAAAGGAGTATTCCAAAGCAGTACCTATTAATTTAAGTACATAGAGAAGATGATAGCTAGATAGAGGATAGATAGACAGACAGACAGACTATATAGATTTATTTTGAGCCCTTCCCTTGAACCAATGTAAAATAATCAAGCATGGTGGCACAGGCATAATCTCAGTAGGTCAAGACAAGGAGATCCCTGGAGCTTGCTGGCCAGCCAATCTACCCTAACATCAATCTTCAGGCCCAAAAGAACCCCTATTTTAAGAGACATGGCATCCTCCTACTGCAGCCAGGGTCTGTGTTGGTATCTGTGGCCCATGTTAACCTCCGAGGCCATTGGGATGTCTGTGGTCTATGCTGCAGCCTGAGGCCATGGTAATGTCACAGCCGCTGAGGGGCATGCCTGGATCCTGGATCTGTGGTTTTGCTGCAGCTGGGAGCCTTGTTTGTGGTCTGTGCTTTCACCAGAAATCACGTGGAAGCCCAAGATGCTCCTGATGACTGCAAGGAGCAAGGAAACACTTTGGCAGAAATATCGGACTGTGGACTCACATTTGTAGAGAGCAACATGGAATGCTTATGTGACCCTCCCCCTACACCTTTCCAAAGGGAACAAACAAGTAACAGCCTGGGTGGGGAGCCATCGAAGAAGATTCTTGAAAAGTGTGAGGAGATGCTGAAGTTTAGCTCTTTACAGGTGGTGGCTTCTGGCAGGGTGTGGGAAGAAAAGAATTTTTAAATTTTGTTGTGGGGGAGGTCATGAGGGTGGGTGTGGACATGGAAGGCCTGGGAAGTGGGTGTTATTAGATGCATGATGTGAGGTTCCCAGGAAATCAATAGAAACATTGTGTTGAAAAGAAAAAGAGAAAGGAGAGAGAGAGAGAGATGGCTGCTGAGGGACAATACTTGGGGTTAACCTGTGCCCTCCACATACACATGCATAGAAGCACAAGAACCCGCAGGCACATGTATACCACACAGTGTTGCTGTGGGATGTTCTGTATGTCCTGTGGGAGCCCATTCTCCGGTTCCTCGTGGCTTTACCCAGCAGGTCTGCATAGAGGATGATTAGGACCACAAGCCTGAGTGCAGGTGTCTGAGATGGTCTGCACTTGGCTGGGCTGTGGAATGGTCTATATGTCAAGTTGCTCTGATTGGTCAATAAATAAAACACTGATTGGCCAGTGGCTAGGCAGGAAGTATAGGCGGGACTAACAGAGAGGAGAAAAGAAAGAACAGGAAGGCAGTACGAGTCACTGCCGGCCGCCACCCTGACAAGCAGCATGAAAAGATGCCGGTAAGCCACAAGTCACATGGCAGGGTATAGATTTATAGAAATGGATTAATTTAAGCTATAAGAACAGTTAGCAAGAAGTCTGCCACAGCCATACAGTTAGTTTGTAAGCAATATAAGTCTCTGTGTTTACTTGGTTGGGTATGAGCGGCTGTGGGACTGGCAGGTGACAAAGATTTGTCCTGACTGTGGGCAAGGCAGGAAAACTCTAGCTACACAGTGTTATCTGCCCACAAAATAAACCTTCCTTTATTTGACTACCAACAACTGGTCCTTTATTGGATCCACACAGAGAAGTGCCTCTACCGGATTCAGCCACACCTGCTTACGTCAGCTGAAGCCTCACGCAAATTGGGCTAGTGGTGTTACTTTGTGTGTTTGTTTGTTTCTCTCCTTTTAAATCCATCTAACTTTTTATGCTAGCTGTAATTAAAAAACAAACAACAAGCAAAAGATATTCCAATATCTCTTCTGCTATTGAAATTCAAAGTAGTCTCGGTTAAATGTTAGAGGTTTCATATTTAAGTCTTGACTTTTGGCCTTATTGGTTGTCTAAGTCTGCACAAGGCTTCAGTCTCCAAGCTTCAGTTTTTCCAAGAGAAAATTAAGAACACTGTTACCCACATCACAGGGGTGTTTGGGAGCATTAAATGAGATAATCCATGTGTGAAATATCATTATGTAAAAACTCCATAAACTAAAGGTTATAAATGGTAGGCCCGTGGCCAAATCTAGCCACAAATGTGTTTGAATTGGCTTCAGAATATGCCTTCCATGCTGTTATAAAATAATTTTAATTAGTTGCCAGCTCTCAAAGATTGGAGAAATTCATGTAATATATGGATATTGAGTTTTCCTTAAAACGTTGTATTAGATGGCAATATGGGACCATATTTTTTATGGCAAAACCAATTAAATATGAGAATCATCCTCATGTTACAGAGGCTCTAATCTCACATTGATGGCGCTTCCTATCACCCCATGCTATTCCCCTGGCATGGACAGAAAGGCCCTTCGGCCCCCTTCTCTTCACTCACTGTTGTCTTAACTGCTGTCGGCAGTGTTTGGTTAATGCCCTCCTCAGCTGAACAGTGAAGCACCAGAATATTAAAGAAATAACTGCTACTCTTTGCTCACTATCAATTTTTGAGATAGTAAATAAACTACTCTCCATTATTGTTTCCTTTTTCTATTGCTATGATAGAATATTCTGACAATAGCAACTTAAAGAAGAAGAGCTTACTCTGGCCCATGATTCTAGTGTATAGTTCTAGCTGAAGGGAAAAACCGTGTAGCAGGAGCATCACAGAACTGGTCCCAGTGCTCTGCAGTCAAGATCAAAGAACAATTCATGTTACTGCTCAGCTTTCTTGATTTCAGTGCAATCCACGATCCAAACCAAGAGAATGATGGCACCCTAATCAATTCACCCAATGAAGCTAGTCCCTTACAGGCATGTTTAGAAGCTAGCTAAACTAAATAACCCCTCAGATATGCCTACAGCTTGTCTTCTATGTGATTCCAGATCCCTCTGAAGTTGACAGTCAACATTAAGCATCCCAGGTCTTGACCCAAATTACTGCTGACTGTTCCACAGGCAAGCTCCAGGTGCCAGTGTACTGGGCACACAGGACCAGCCCAGTAAATGTTTATGGAGTGAATGTAGTGTGAGTGAGCCCAGGCCAGTGCTGTACTTGTGACCTAATGGACACATCCAGGCGGTTGTTTTCATCTGAAGATTTTTCTGATGGTTTTGCTGTCTTCATGTGGAAACTGAAGGAGAGAAAAAATGTTGACTCATGATATATTCATTTAATGTAATATTTAAAAATTTTTAAATTTAAAAATTTTTTCCTGTAGGTTGTCCCCAGACAAGATATGGCACCAATTGTGACCTCGAATGTCTGTGTAAAAATGGTGGACTCTGCAATCCTGTGGATGGGAGCTGCTCCTGTGGCCTTGGGTGGACCGGGGATTACTGTGAGAAAGGCAAGCTGATGGCACCTTCTTACCGTCACAATGTATACACTTTAGAACTCATCACTATGGGTTGCTGAGTAGAGGCCTATGAAGAAACTATTTTCCAATAACCTGTTTATAATTAGGATCACATTTCCAATAAAATTGTACAAATATTGATCATTAATCATTACCTAGTTTCTAGACTATCACAGGAAAACTCTGAAACATCTTAAGAAATTGAAATAGTATTGGTGGTAACAAATTACCCTGAGAACTCAATTCCACTTTTTACCCTAAAACCCAAAGCCATTGTAGACATCAAATTGGCTGAGCCTAGAGATTTTAAACAGGGGCCTGAAGAAGACAACACTCACAGAGGACTTAACAAATGGTTAGAATACACTGGTCTTTGGGAGTGGAGTGGGTATGTGTGTCCTGGGACAGGTGGTTCATGTCTTTAATCTCAACACTATGGAGACTGAAGGGGAGCTGGGATGTATAGCCCTGGCTGCATAGCAAAACATGAAATATGAAATGGCTATCCCCATTACTGTTCCACATTCTAGGGGGTGTTTTGTTGTTATTCTCATTTATTTGTTCTTTCAAATGAATGTTATAATCATTTATTTAGGGAAAACATGTTTTTGTTGTTTCATTGTATTGTGTTTCCTCAGGAAGAATCACATTCTTAGGTTAACTCATTGTATTCAAGAACAAACAGTTCATCCTTTGTTCCATATTTTATTCCTTATCAATAAAGGTGCTGGCTCTAGCATTCACATTAAGATATTCAGGTTAAGGAGCAAATAATTAATTTTCTAATCCATTCAATACCTTACTATATTTTAGTGAATTTATTACAAGGCCTTTCCTCATCTCTGCAGTTTATTATATGAGTTTTCTCTTTAGTCTGATAGCATATGTGATGTAATATTAATGAATTTCTAATACTAAGTTGCCTTACATTACAAGAATAAATACTGTGTGACCATGATTAACTATTTCATAAAGTGCTATTAGATTCTATATACTTTTGTATTCTATGATTTTGGCATTGATATCCAAGAGGAAAATGGAGCTGCTTTTATATGCAACCTTTTCCAGTTTTTAAAATTGATGTTCCATACATTCAGTAAAAAGTATTTGGAAATTTCCTTTCTCTTTCAGTGTTCTGGAATACTATACTCTAAGTCTAGATGGTGCCCTGCCTAGTGAAAGTTTGTAGACTACTCTGTGAATCTGAATAGCTCTTTCTTTTTCTCCCTTTTACTCTTATTCAAATGTTAAGAACTGTTACTGTACTTATCTAGGTTTTCTGCGTCAAATTAAGATGGTTTGGGTAAGTTGTTCTCTATAGCATTTCCCATTTCATTTCATTTTGGAATTTTATTTGTATTATGATTGTCATAATTGCAAATTGGATAGTAATTTTCTTCACCTTTTAAAAAAAGCATGTGTGTGTGTGTGTGTGTCTGTGTGTTTGTGTCTGTTTGTGTGTGTAGATGTGCTTTGCCTGTATGTATGTCTGTGTACTGGAGGGTAGAAAGGGGAACTGGATTATTGTTGGTTGCTTTTGCTCTTTTGAGGGGCCCACCACCCAGCTCCCAAATAAATCACACACAGAGGCTTCTTCTTAATTATAAATACCCAGCTTTAGCTTGGCTTGTTTCTTGCCAGCTTTTCTTAACTTAAAATTATCCCATCTGTCTTTGGCCTCAGGTCTTTTATCTTTCTCTATTCCTGTATACCTTTTCTTTCCTTCTGACTTTGTTGTTGGCTGTGTGGCTGGGTGGCTGGCCCCTGAAGTCCTCCTCTGTCCTCTCCTGTCCCTTGATCTTTTTCTCTCAGATTTCTCCTTCTATTAATTCTCTCTGCCTGCCAGCCTCACCTATCCCTTCTCTTGCCTTGCTATTGGCCATTTGGCTCCTTATTAGACCATCAGGTGTTTTAGACAGACACAGTAACACAGCTTCACAAAGTTAAATAAAGGCAACATAAACAAAAGTAACACACCTTAAAATAACCTTCTCCAACATTGGATCTCCTTTAACAGAAGTTATAGATGGTTATGCACTGCTATGTGGGCACTGGGATTTGAACCTAAGTCCTCTGCAAAGCAGCCAGTGTTGTTAAACACTGAGAAAACTCTCTCCTTCACCTTTTAAACATTGTTATGTGTTTGTGCTTTGCTCATTTCTGGGTTGTTGGGCTGGAATCCAGCCCCATATGCATGCTAGGTACGCCCTCTACCACAATGGTCCTCAACCCTCCTAATGCTGTGACTCTTTAATACAATTCCTCATGTTACAGTGACCCCCCCAACCATTAAATTATTTTGTTGCTACTTCATAACTGTAATTTTGCTACTGTTATCAATCTTAATGTATATATCTTATATGTAGTATATCTGACATTAGGGGTTCAAGACACAGGAATTGAAAACTACTGCTTACCACATACCTAGCCTGTGAGTTCTCCATTTTAACTGGGTTAGTTGGTGGTTTATGTGTACTCATTTCTTCATTAATGATAGTTTTTCGCCATCTTTGAACTTATTAATTTTTAATGGTCTTTGGACAAATCCTAATATTTTGATGTTTTCTTCTTCAGCGTGTTCTTCTGGTAATTACGGCCCAGGCTGCAAATTCAATTGCTCATGTCAGAATGGTGGGATTTGCAGCAGGCTTTCTGGAGGCTGTGAGTGCCCCAGAGGGTACTACGGACAAAGCTGTGAGCATGGTAAACAGTGTGTGCTATATGGGGAGGTTCTAAACTTCAAAACTATTTTAAATCATAGAGAGAGTATATTCATATAAAATCAAATTACACAACTTTTAGTGAATATTACTGTAAGTGGAGAGAGTTTCACTGCTTAAATTGAAAATTTAAATTTTAACAATTACCATGATGAAAAAAATTGAACTTTAAAATTCTTAGACTTTTCTACCTATAACTGGCTCAACTATCCCATTATTACTTGGAAATACACTCAGCAGACAGACACCCCATGAACCAGCTGTGAGTCTGTCCCAGGTGCCCTTGGGCAATAATAGATGTTAGCCATGACTTGCTTCTGAAGGATCCGCCTTCACTTTGTCTTTCCAAATGGTTTCTAATACTGTTGCTATATTTGCACTCCACATTTTAAGCTAAAATTGAAAAACAAGAAGCTTAGACAATGACTTGGCCCCCGAGAGTCCTGATTTGACAGTATTACTCAGAGGGCACACATGAGAGTGTGGACTCTAGAATTTGTCCTAGACAGCCTACCTCTGCCAGCTTTACCATGTGCATAGTGGGTTAATAAATGTTGTCATGAGGACTAATAGGAAATCATGTTTAAGCACTGAGCATGGAGATGAATGACCAGAGCTTGGTGGATGTCAGTCACTTAGAATACAAAGAATTTTCCAAAGTGTCTGAAATGCTATTAACCATGTTCCTATTCTTTCAACCTCAGGAATAGGAATGGGCATCACCAAGCATTTGGGGATTCAAACTCTTGTAACTAATCTGGTGTTTTAGGGCTAAGAATACAAAATCAGACATTTTGTGGTTTTTGTTCATTTGTTTCCTTTGTTTTGTTTCTGAAATTGAAGAGGTGAAGGATAGAAAAAGTATTTATTTAGAACCCATCACATTTGTACTATAAGGTTAGCAAAGAGTGTTTTAGATTAAGGAAATACCACCAAGATGAGATAACTGAGAAGAGCAGGTATATTGCTGTTTATTAGGAACAAGGGTTTGGCATCAATATACCCGTGGGGTGGTAGAGTGAAAACCCAGGCCCTTTCTCACTGTGGCTACAGATCCTCAAGTCCCATCTCTGTGATGCGCTTCCTCTAGCAAGGCATCACCTCCAACAGGTCTTGTTATGCCCCTGAACAGCATCACCAGCTGGGAAGCAAACGTTTAGACACAGATATTATGGGGGAATAGTACAGTCAAATCACAGGCTAGGATGTAAAACATAACTGGACTGGGATGAGAATGGAAATGCACAAATAAAACAATACATCAGGATAACAATCCACTGTGATGCTGACTGAAATATTAAAGAGAAAGAAAAGATGCATCTAAATTTCCTAATTAAGCAACTTGGAAACATAAGATTATTTAGTAAAATGGAAAAGCAAGCAATGCAACCATTATTCCTCAGTTTTATATATAACTAAAGAAAGGAAGACACAGGAATCTTCTGTGTATTCTCTATCTAACATTCATAAGATCAAAAGGAGAAACTGTACATTTCCTTTTACTCAATAGTTACAATGAGGTCAGTAAAGGGAATGTTTATGTTTTGTTTATGTTATTTAATTCCTTTTGTGTTTCCTGTTTTTCCTCTGCCGCACTGGATATTGGAGAAGCATCATCTACACTAAGAATATTCACCGTTACATTCCTAAAAAGGAGGTGGGAGAGAGGGATAGGTGTGATTAGGGAAATAATGAATAATTGTCAGGTGAGTGGATTTTGTAAAACAGATGAGTGACCACATGAGAGAAAACTCAAGGAAGGAAATGGAAATTTTTTTTATTTATAGTCAAGCGTAGTTCCTGCTACTCCAAGGTGAGCATCTCCATGAGAAGATAAGTTTATCCTACATAGAATGCACTGGGCTGGTGTTCACAGTCCCAAGATATATATATATATATATAACAAGTGCTCCCTCAGATGCCTAGACACAAAAAAAAATCAGTCTCTTCCAAACATGGAGTTAAGACAGAGTGTTCTGGGCTTACTAAGATAACTCTGCTTTCTACTTAAGAGGATATCCCAAGAACCTTTTCAAACATTAAATCCCGCTGACTGTAAAACCTAACTTACTCATAAAATGACACCCTACTGTTTATATAATATATTTTCTCTCTTCCTCATCCTCTTTGTCCTGCTTTTTCATCATTTCCTGTTTCCTTCATGTTCAGCCCTGGGAGTGAACTCCCAGGACTTCAAATACAAATAAATCACTTTTCACACACAGTATTTTATTTGTTTAAGGAATTTAATTCAATATTAGTATCACTAAATTTAGCCTGAATCAGAAGTTTAGGTTTAGGTTTTAGATGTTTTCATTTCTTTTCTGTTTGTGTGATAAAGCAATTGAGGAAAAGAGCTTGTCTTGGTTTGTAGACCCACAGGGATACCATCTGTCTTAACAGGGCAGATTTGAGATTAGGCAATCAAGGAGCAGGAGACTGGCTGGTCACGTTGTATCTACACTCAGAAAGCAAAGAGTGAGCAGAGAGGGAATGAAGCTTTGCAGCTTCCAGGCCTGACCCCAGTGTTCCTCCAGTAGATCCACCTAAAGGTTCCACAAATATTCCAAACAGTATGAGCAGCTTGACACCAAGAGTTCAAATATGTGCCCTTATGGGGACATATCACCTCTAAACTACAACAGGAGGGTTGTAGTGCCATCTTTGGCCAACTACAGTACATCAAAGCAAAATAGCATTATGAAGATATTTCAGATCTTCTCATGGGCTTTACTAGTTTTAGAAAATAACATAAACCTGATTTTTTATCATTAATTTCTTGTATGATTCCCTGTACATCCAATTCTTCCCTTTTGTATCATTTTTAGGCTTGATACAAACATGAACAATAATATTTCATTTTGTTTTTAAGTTAAAGATAGCATTTTGACATTTCTATCTTCTAGAATGTCCTCCTGGATTTCATGGCTTTAATTGTATTCACACCTGTGACTGCCAAAATGGAGCCAGTTGTGATGTAGCAAAAGGACAGTGTGTTTGCCCAGCAGGTTTCCATGGCAACCATTGTGAACAAGGTATGGCAAGGGTGTTTTAAAGTACATATCTGTGAGAATGCTTTGTGAGCATGAGGTCTTCTAATCTATTCATGAACATGAAATTCTAAATCAAATTTGGTCACTTACTCTTTCAATTTATACATTACACTATAAGGAATATATTCAGGGGCCAGTATAATCAGATTCCTCTGCTATTCTTACTAGTGGGTCAACATATTTTTCTCTCATGTAATATCTCAAAATGAAAGCTCTAAGTCAGTATAGGAAAGGGTTATACCTCTGAAGAAGATTAAATATTTCATGAAATGCCTAGTATAAGAATGTGACAGACATGCCTGGCTTTGTGGTGTTGAGACCAATCAGAGGAGTTTTGTAAATATTTAAAGACAAAAATTGGGCATTTATCACAAGAGTAACCACAGCTATGAATGTGTATGAAATATGAAAGAAACAGGGATAACGAGCTTGAAATAAAATATTACATATATTACAAAGTCTTAAAAGTTTGGATCAATTAAAATGTTGCCAAAAAACCTGAGAGCATCACTGTGGTCACATCAAGTATGGATTTTTGTATAGCGTTATAACGATGATGATGATGATGGTGGTGATGATGGTGATGATGATGATAATGTTATAAGGATCATGGTAACTTCATTCTATATGGTGAATCAAAATTTCTGCCTATGAACTTTTCAAGTACTCTGTCTATATTTTAAAACATCACCACAGCTTTACATATTTTATTTTTGTTCATTTATTATTTAGTAGTTCAATAGGACAGAAACTGTTATCTTTTTCTGTGTTAAATTCTAGAAATACAGTGGAAAGCATGAGGCATACACTATTCTAGGGAGATGAACAATAATTTTCACATTAATGGAAATAATACGAGTTGTATACATGGTCTTGCTGCTTAAGATTTTTCAGAAAAGCTTACTTACATTCTAGAACATTATAAACCAGTGTCAATGTAACTAAGTTTAGAGAACTGGTTTTCAGATCAGTCAGATGATGGATCTTACTCCTGAGAATTCCCCAGATGTCCTCTGCTGAACAGAAAAACCCACTTTATCACCTTTACCATCTGCACTTGAATCTTAATATCTGTTGATATGAATTTGCATATTCCTTCAGATGTACAGCCACAAAAATGTTGATCTTTACCAAACCTGAATGTAAAACAGAGTATTCTGGACTTCCTAAAATGACTCTATTTTCTACTTAGGAGGGTATTCAAAGAAATTTTGCACCTTTGATAATTCAAGGCTTTATATCCCAGCATGTCTCATTCCTCTGTAGAATGTCCACCTGGAATGTTTGGGGACAATTGTCGTCAGCTGTGTGACTGTGAAGGAGAAAGTTCTTGCCATCCAATCACAGGAAAATGTCTCTGCCCACCAGGGAGGACAGGAGCCAGATGTGAAACAGGTATGACCAAAGAGCAAAAATCCAGAGTGATACAGAGATCCACAGACACCTCAGTGCTGGAAATGACAACCTATAAAAGGGCATTGTCCAGCAATGCTTCTTCAGTTTGAGGAATCAGTGTGTAGATGTTACATCATAGGTACTCCATCCCAACACCTTAGTTAACAGACTTCCTCAGAGATACAATGAACAGAAGGTGACTCCAAAAACCCACTAGAATGAAAATAAACTGTCATCATCTAGGTAGTATTCTCAAGATCCAATAACCCAGATTGTCTTTGGGAATTGATATTTATACTTTGTTTTCCTTCTCAACCACAGAAATAATGATTTAGAATGTAAAGTTACGATAATTTAGCAACTGTCCAATGAAGAGGGGAGAGTGGATTGAAGTGATTGGCATCAAATCACCTGCAGTGTAACTTGATGGATGCTTTCTAGATCAAAAGGTTTTATATAATTCACCTCAGACCCAAGACACGGGACCAGCTCAGATAAGATCCCACATTGAATGTTTAATCTCAGGATTTACTTT